GCCCTTTCTATTTTTGTGTCTCACTACATCAGACAGAAACAAAGTCCTTTCCCAACCTTCTCCTCACTAGGAATATATCATGGTCCTTTAAAAATCCATTTCTATAAACTCAAAGCGCTAAGATTAAAATCATGCTGAATCCCATCCTCTTCCAGTGTAAGTTGAGTATATTCAATAAATGTTGGAAAAATAAATGTTTGATCCTTGCCTTTCTTACTCCTTTATTTTTTGTTGCTTTTATTTTTTTGGTAACAGGGATCGAGCTCGGGACCTTGTGCTTGTGAGGCAGGCGGTGGAACCACTGAGCTAAGTCCCCAGCCCTTACTTCTTCAATAAGCTCTAATAGGGGCCAGGGATTTTAGCACCTGTCTCACAAGCACAAGGACCAGAGTTCAATCCCTGGTACCAAAAAACAAGTAAGCTCTAATAAATGACTTTTTAAAACTTTAAGAAAATTCAGACAATGCGATTGTCTTTTCAATTAAAAGAAAATAGAAATAAGAGGTAGAAATTAAACACACTCTAGAGAAATAGCTTCCTATTCATCATTAAACACTACTGCATACCTTACCTGAATACACTGAAACTTCAGACCCAGAAGGGCACCACATATTGCTTCAAGTTTGTTGAATGATTTCAAGTAGGAAAGTAGCAAAGGAGAAATAAAGACATTACAAGTCCACCATTTCCAAGCAAATATTTAAATCCTTATTAATTGTCCATAGTAGTCCAAAATCTTTGTCACAAATGACTAAAGTTTATTGAAGTGTCATTTTAAAAAAGATAGACTAACTCCAGGTTGATGTCTGGTTAAGTCTCCAACTTATGCACATTTGAGTTGCAAAATTTCAGATACAAGCAGACCTTGAATTATGAACATTCATAGATGGGAACAAATTGTGAAAGTAGCTCCAGGTGTCTGCCAAACATGGTCACAGTTGTGCTGTTGTATGCTTACTGTATAGTGTGACAGGGTATGTAGTACAGTGCTCAATCAGAGCCCAAGATGTCTAGAAGCAAGAGGAAAAGCATGTTGATGAGGGGACTGCTAGGAAGCACAAAGCAATAACCATGGAAACAAATTGGAATGTGCAGTGTTAAGACTCATTTTGTCAGACTTACAAATGAATCCAACTTAAGAATGTTCTCTTGGAATGGAATGTATAAGTCAGGGACTTACTATATCCTGAAAGAACGCTCTCTCTCTCTTTTTTTTTTTTGGATTTTTGAGACAGGGTCTCACTATGTAGTTGAGACTGACCTAGAATTCACTATGTAGCTCAGGCTGGTCTCGAACTCACAGCGACCCTCCTGCCTCAGCCTCCCAAGTGCTGGGATTACAGGCGTGCGCCACCACACCCAGCATGAAAGAACTCTCTTTAAAGGGACACTTAAATCACATGCTTAATTTTTACAGAAGTATAAAAAAGTCAAATAATCCTGACAAAAGTTTAAAGAGCTACTGATCAGAAATAATATTGCTTGCATCTGGAATGCATGAAATTCTTTCTTACTAGTGCCAAGGGAGCTACTTTACTCCCTCTTATTTGTGGGTTGACTGGTACTAGGGATTGAACTCAAGGCCTTTGCCCTGAAATACATCCCCCAGACTTTTTTGATTTGAGACAGAGTATTGCTAAATTGCCCAGGATGAGCTTGAACTCATGATCCTCCTATCTCAGCCACCCAAGGTGCTGAGATTATAGGTATGCACCATCATCTCCAGTTTCTCTTATTATAAAAATAAATCAGAACAAAAATTACCATGAAATTGCATTTGCTATGTGAATTACAAAGCTACTGGAAGCAAAGTAAGATATACACACCTATTCTAATAAAAAGTATCCAATGGGCAATGAAGTTTATACCTGTTTTGTGGTATGGAGGATTGAACTCAGGGCCTTTGGACTGAGCTACAGGGTCTCACTATGTTGTGCCCAGGCTGGGTTAAACTTGTAATCCTCCTGCCTCAGCCTGCCAAGCTGTTGGGATTTCAGGTGTGTGCCACTGGAACTATAAATTTCTTATACATAGAAGTATTTTATGATTTGCTCATAATTAAAATTGTGGTGAAAAGTTTATGCCTGTTTAAAAAATATATGATTATATAAAGCATTTTTCTAGTAAGTTTCCCTAATTTAAATACTGAAGTAATGAAGCATCAGTCATCACTGATATTTACTTGCCATGCCACAAATGCAAAAGTACAGCTAATTATTATTTCTTAGATATGTGACAAGCCCATACCTTTCCACTACTTTCTATGGTATTCAAAGAAGCAGTTTATCATCATCTCACAATTATAAGATCTGAGGTTCAGCCCATGTCTGCCATAGTCAAGTTTTGGAAAATGTTGGGCCTCACTTTACCAAAACTTAGACACAGGGTTAAACAGGATCATATCTAAAGGCTCATCTAGTGGAATATTCTCCATTGTTAAGTAATTTTATTCTCTTCTTTAATTCTTCCTCATTACCTCCTATTGAAGACACTATGAATGAAATGGCCAGAAAGCACTTAAGAAGGATGGTGAGGGCCGAGCATTTAGCTCAGTGGTGCCGCTGCCTGCCTTGAAAGCGCAAGGTTCCGAGTTCGAGCCTTAGTACGGAAGATGGTGAGAGAAGAGTCTAGGTTGATTTACTAATTCAACTGGCAGGAAACTTCAAATCCTAAAAAATATGAATAATCACTACAAAGTTCTTTGTAACACAGAACAATCTAAAAACCACAACTCCGAACTTTATATCTAAGAATAAATCATGTGAAACCTGTTACATTTTATTTGTTAAAAATGAACAGCTTCAGAATAGAGCTAAATGTAACTTTTCCAAAAACACCAAAAAGTACAGTGTGAAGCACCTCCTCATTAAATACAAACTTTCACTTTGTGATGCACTGCATCAATGTTTTGCATACATCTTGATGCAAAGAAAATTTTAAATTGCATCCTGTTTAAGGAAAAGTATTTTGAGAATTGAACAAGGATGACTACAACCACATTCCAAGAAAGGAAGTATCCCAACAAAGCATATTGTTTTGTTTATATACAACATGCTAGCACTCAAGTTTTAATTTAGTTGTACCAAAGGCAAAATTTACTTTAAAAGAAAATTACAGATGTATGAATTGCAAAGGTTTAATATACCAAAGACACTTTTGTTATTTGATGCACTTAGTGTCAACATTTGCGACAATTTTAAAGGTCTTCTAAAAAATGACATTAATACAACCTCTGTATAGTAATATTTAAAATAAGAGAAAAATGAGACCCTTTTTATACTATATTTTCAAAAACTGTTCTAAAGACAGCAAACTCATGCTCAGTTGTTTTTCCTTTGTTTAAAATAAGCTACCAGTAATTCCAGGCAGTCTAAAACATATTGTTCATGGATCAAATATTAAATATTCATATTTGCAAAAATGTTTTGCAATGAGTCCTTGGCCTCTATGAAAAGATTCAAATTGCTAAGAAGAGCTAAAGTTTATTTTCAAATTTTGTGACTGGGTTTCAATAATCCCTTATCAAATAAAGTACTGGCAAAATATCAGATATTAAGGATCAGATTTCTTTGGTATAAGCATCAAACTGTTACTGATAGCTTCCCATGGCTCGCATAAACCAGTAAGTAACCCAAGGAACATAAGAGACAATACAATAAATACAATACTATACAATAAATGCAAGGTAGGCAGGAGTGATAATGTTTTGTTTTATAGGAAAAGTCAACACTAATAATATAAGCCAGAGAAAAAAACACCTATTTAGAAATTTGAACATTATAAAAAAACCAAAAGTCAAGCTTCAAAATGACCAAACTTATTAATTTTCAGCTGGAATATTTTGCTATATTTTGGCATTTTACTGTAATTTATAGTACACAATTTCTGAAGACTCTCAGCACTATCTTGGCACAACAGACTAACTCCTCCCACCTCTCCAGAGTACAGGAAGAAAAGCTATTTCTTGTCTAAATGCCTGCATTTTATATCATACAAAAAAATCTGATGGAAGGTATACAATAAAGGTTACAATGTTAACTCTATTGTAATTTTACACATTTTTTTCTTTGTGACATATATTTTCCTTTTTGGGCTATAAATTAATTTAGCAAGCTTATACATTTTAACTTTTTAAATAGAAGAAAGTGTAGGACTATAAGGCTATTAATTTTACTATCAAAAAAATCTAAGGACTCAGTGTATTTTTAAAATTAAAATTCTAAATATCACTCGATGAATCTGAAGACACTAGATTCAAGACTACATTAAATCCAGAGTTTATCTATGACCTGGGTTTTGAAGCTTTTCAACTAAGTGTCTGGTCCTTCAACCTGCTCCTTTCTTGCATGCTTTCTTCATTACTAAATACAAACTGTCAGCTTTTTACACTGGACCTTCTCCAGTGTCCTATCGGTTAACTCTGTAAGCGTGCATTTACAGCCTTCATACACCAACATTTTAAACTGAGACTAATGCCAAGAACCACATTTCTTGTTAAAAGTTCAGCACTTAAGATTTGTAACTCCAGGGGTCTAACTTAACACCATCTGAAAAATGAACCATGTTCCAGATAGTTCTATCAACCTTAAAAGCCAAAATTGCAATTCTCATATTTTAAAAAATGCGTCTAATGAAGAAAAGGCAACTGCACTTAGTACATCAATACTCTTCAAAGGATAAGTGACAGCAACAAAGGGACCTACTCGTATTACAGAAGACAAAGTTTTACCATGGCAAAGACTAAAAAGTGGGCAAAGGTGGTAAGATCCTAAATATCACTATCATAAAAATAATCTCTGTTTCTTTTTTTTAATCTTTCCTTCCTTCTTTCATCTGCTATATGAGGAACCAAGGAAGTCAACAGAAAATTGTTCTGTCTGGGCCAACCATGAAATCTTTAACAGATAGGTATATTCCCTGTTACCTTTCAGGGCATTATTTTATACATGTTTAAAAAAACAAAAACAAAACAAAATTTCAAAAATAAGAGTTATTTCGCCTTGTGAATATTTTGAAGTAAAGTATCTTGAATTTCTATGATGAACTCTTCAAGCAATTCAACTTTTCAAGAGTCATCACTCAAAAGGTCCTTTGATATAGGATCTATCCCACAGTGACAAAGCGGCTTCCTCCTTTGTTGTATGTGAGAGTGGCTCTTTGTTCCTTCAGGATTCCAAACCTTTCATTCAAAGTCATCCCTGTCTATAGAAAAGGAAAAAAAAAAAATTAGCGATTTGACTAAAAGCCATATTTGCTTTGGAATAATCTTATGATTAACAGTAATTAATAATGACAATAGCTATTATGACCTGAATACTTACGTGAGTCTCACTAGAGCCTAACAAAAAACATAAAATACATGAGGTTAAAGAGGTTCAGAGAAGTTAATTAAGGTGCCTACTAGCAGCTCCTGACTCATAATTTCTACCTCCTGCAGAGAATGTAGATCAGTGATAGAGAGCTTGCTTCACATGCCTGAGATTCTGGGTTCAACTCCTACTATTCACCAGGAAATAGGAAAATTATTTTAACGTGGAAGTATTTTAAAACACATTTCTGAGTTTTCTACAGAAATATGAAAATCTGGTTTCTGATTATCTAATGAAGTACTCTCAAATGACAAAGTAACTACCCTGACAAAATAAAAACTGGCAAAGTAGATTTGTTTACTTCATGTGTCCGTGGATGTGCATGTGCATGTGCATGTGCACGCCCACACTAGTGACTGACTGTACCCAGGGCTTTCCCCCCAGACCAAAAATGACCACATTTGTATCTATACTTCCTATCTTCAATTCCAGATTCTTATCTCAAGGGGTACCAAAAGAGAATATGAAGTCCAAACTCCCTCATGATAAAGATTTTCAGCAAATTAGGAATAGATGGGGGCACCCTTAATCTGATAAAGGGTATCTCTAAAAAACTTACAGCTAACATTATACTTAATGATGAGACATTTAGTATTTTCTCCTTAGGCTCTGAAACAAGGCAAGCACAGAATAGTATCTTGCCACATCTATTCAACATTGTACTAGAGATCTTAACTATTACAATAAAGCAAGAAAAATAAAGGCTTTAAAAATCGCAAGACAGAAAATGAAAAAATGGAAATGAAGTATTTATAAATAGGGAAGGGAGGAGGGGATAGAGGGTAGGGGTAAGGGGAAAAGCTGAGAACCAAGACCTGTCATGCAAAGATACAAGATCCCAATGATGAATGTAACTGTACTGTATACCTAAAATGTACCAATAAACTCAATGAGAAAAAAATTAATAAAAATCGCAAGACATTTGGAGAATGACATGACTGTATACACAGAAAATCCAAAGTAATTTACAAATTTACTACAAAAATGAGTTTAGCAAGATGACACGATAAGAGTTTAATACAAAAATTTAAAATCCTGTTAAGGTATCACTTCACATTCAGTGGCATGGCCACAGTCAAAAAACAGGTAATAACAAGTGTTGCTAAGAATGTGGAGAAATTTTAAAACTTCATATATGCTGGTGGGAATGTAAAACAGCATTGTTATGGTTTGTATCCAGACTCCCTAAAGACTCATGGTGTCATAGGTGAGGCTGAGTCTAGAATGTATGATACTGGGATAGATTCACGTGCAATGCCAGGATTAAGGGTGCTAAGATTAAGGTTGTGAGTGCTATCTGCCCTAAGGGTGGGTAGCCTGGTTAAGATACAAGGGACAGAAAAAGCTGTGGTCTTGTCTCTCATTGCTTGCTGCCTTCTCCCTGCCATGAACTGTTTTTCCTCTGTGATGCCCCTCTGCCTTAGAGCTGGCCAACTATGAACTGAAACCTCTAAAAACTGTGAGCTAAATAAACCCTTCATCCCTTAACTTGTGAATGAATGTTGGGCATTTGGTCTCAGCAATGAGAAAAGTAACTAAGACAAGCACAGCTATTTCTTTGGAAAGAAGATTGGCTGTTCCTAAAAAAGTTAAGTATGGAGTTACCATAAAATTCACCACATCTACTTCTGGGTATTTAACAAGAAGAAATGAAAACATGCTCACACAAAAACTTGTCCACAGGGCCAGGGATTTAGCTCAGTGGTGCCACCGTCTGCCTTGCAAGCACAAGGTCCTGAGTTTGATCCCCGGTACAAAAAAAAAAAAAAACTTGTCCACAAATGTTCAAAGAATCAGTATTCATAGGCTAAAGACAGAAACAAACCAAATGTCTACCAACTAATGAATGAATAATAAGATGCTGTATATAAAGTTGGGTGTGGTGGCACTCAGTTAATCCCAGCTCCTTGGAAGGCTGAGGCCAAGAGGATAAGATTTTTGAGTCCAGCCTGGCCACCATAGTGAAATGCTGTCAAAAAAATTAAAAATGAGCGAGGCTCTAGCAGAGTGGTAGGTCACGTACCTAGTAAGTACAAGGCCCTGGATTCAATCCCCAATACCATGCACACACACAAAATGCTGTATGAATATGCAGAATATTGTAAAAAAATGAAATACTGTACAATACAATATGGATGAACCTTGAGAATACTACATAAGTAAAAGATGCTAGTTACTAACATATTTTATGATCCAATTTACATGAAGTGTCAAAATAGGCAGTTTTTAGAACAGAAAAAGATTAGTGGTTACCTAGAATTGAGGGACTAGTTAGAACACGCTAATTTGCTATACAACAATATTTTATTAAATTAATTACTTTAAAAAATAAATTAATACCTTAAATAATAAAACTTTGATTAAAATATTGTGTGTGAATGGCCCAAAGAAATGCCAAAAAAAAATTTTTTTTTACCTGTTTCCCAACACTATTTATGTCAAATTGTAGGGGGACACCTTTAGGAACTTTCTTTACATCAGACTGTTCCCGTTTGGTCAAGAATGAGGGTACCGCAGTACGAGTTAATCGAGGTTTCTGAGTTCTATTAGGGAAAAAAAAAAATTAGCTTAACAACCAAAATAAATCATTTGGCACTTACAATGTCTTTACTTGTACACATGTTCAAATGTGTTAGGCCTATTTTATTCTTTAAAAAAGGGGATCTGACTCTTTACTACTCTAGAGACTAAAATTTGTAATTGTTCACAGAATACCTCTAATTACAAGTAAAAATTTAAATAATTTTGGTGATTTCCAAGTCTTGGTTTTCTAAAATAAAGCAACCTATAAAGTCTTGGAGTCTTGGATTGAAATTTTTAATTTCAATCATTAAAATAGCTGGATAGATCAGAAACTCCATAAATTTAAATGTTCACAATGCAATAAATATAACACAACAGTAAAGCTAGTAAACTAGCTCTTCTAGTTAAGAGAACACATAGAGGCCTTGAAAGAGAAGACAGACTGGTGTGATCCGACAAGTAAAGATGTCCAAAACATACCAGAGTTAGGGGAAAAAAAGAATTTTAAGTATAGTATCACCTCATTTATTACCATACATATATTAAAATGTACAATTATTTCTTACATATGCACAATATTTTCTTAAATATATAAAAAAATTTGATCTGTGCCTGCCTGGCAAGCACAAGGTTCTGAGTTCGAACCTAGGTACAAAAAAAAAAATTATTAAAAGGGAGTTACATGAATCAGGAATCAAGAAAGTCTTACTTTTAACTTTATCTTATTTCCAATTTCTATCACAAATATTACGTTTAACCTCCCATCTCACTGTATACTTTTTCTAAATTGAAATTATAGTAAAAGACACATTGCCATTAATCCTAAAAATAGCTCCCCCCACTTTAAACACACTTAACTTTACCCTAACTTAGACATCAAACTCTACCTCATATATGAAGAGGTTACAATATTTTACAAAAGGGGGAAAAAAAATAAAAAGACTTACATTGGGCACTGTACTGCTCCAGGATTGTCAATGGACACTGTCAAAATTCCTCCATTTGTGGTGGAAGTACGCCACCTAGTTTAAAAAAAAAACAAAACAACCCACAAATCTCATTAAAATGGGATTTTATAAATCCTATATTGTAACCCACATAAAAATATACTGATTATCTGTCTATATTTATTTTGGTGCTGGGGGTTGAACCCAGGGCCTCATACATGGTAAGCAAGTACTCATTCTTTCACTGAACTACAATCTGAGCCCCGAAATACACACTTAAGAAATAATCACTACTTTTTCTGAGCTTTTGTTTTTGTTTTTTTTTTTTTTTGGTTCTTTGAGACAGGGTCTCACTATGTAGTTCAGACTGCCCTGGAACTCACTGTGCAGCCCAGGTTGGTCTCAAACCCACACCGATCCTCCTGCCTCAGCCTCCCGAGTGCTGGGATTATAGGCGTGCGCCACCACACCTGGCTTCTTAGCTTGTATGAAATACTGATACCTGGACCCCACCACCACGATGCAATGAATCAGTATACTCTGTAGGAACTCGGCACTTGAATTTCTTAAATATTTTTCAGTATAATGAAAAGCAAATACAGAAGGGATTCTAATAAAACCTAACAGTCTTTCACCCCACTAGTCTTCCCATTCCCACTCCTCCAGAGGCAGTACTTCTTAACCTTTTCTGTTTTTACTACCTGCTAGTGACTTCTCACTTACTACTTATTAGAAATATCTGGCTATACTCTTGCTGAATAAGTTCATTATATCATCACCCAGTTTCCCTACTGACCTCTAAACAATTTGATGGCTTTATCAATATTTTACTTCCACTGTGTATTTAAATATTTCTTCCATTACTGTCTCTTGATGCCCTTTCATTTAGTATGAAAAGATAACAGTCCCTCGAAACCATTTTTCTACCTTTTCACCCACATTGCATCGTCCATTGTCAGCTCTACCTTCATATTTACAGTAACCTGACATTTACATCATACTCTGTCTACAAATAATTACTTTATGCTAATCTATAGGTTAATTCTTAAAGTTCAGAGCAAATTAACATTTATACTACTATTATATAAATCTGTTCACTGCAGAAGCTAACAGGCTACAGTTATTCTCCTCCTATGGTTTCCAATGTTCTACCTTCTGTGCTAAACAATACTTCCAGCATCAGGTTCAAGTACAGTAGTTTCCTTTCCTTCACTTTCAAAATTATGCCCCACTGTACTTAGATCATATCTGAACCATGACCAAATTTTATGTTTTCCAAAAGGTAGCCATAACTGTAATCTCAATAAGGGATCATACTGATGAATTGAGTATTATAACTCACTCTTGTAATAACAAAAATGGATTTTTAAAAAGATAATGCCACGTTGCTGTCTGCCTTGCAAGTGCAAGGACCTGAGTTTGATCCCTGATACTGCAAAAAAAAAAAAAAAAAAAAAAAAAAAAAAAAAAAAAAAGATAATGCCAAAGGAAAAAAATGTTGTAGTTTTACAAATGTTCTAAGAGTGATACTGGATTTTCTTCTATTCATCCCCTGGATGGGTTTATTTATATAAAAGCAGATAAAGGGGGAAAAAAAAAAAAAGGAAAAGGAAGAAAAATGCTTTTTCATTAAAAGGGAGTAAATAGTTGATAAAAAATACAGTAATTTAGTTGGTATTAAAAATGTTTTTAACAGTGACGTGAAAATTCAAAGGTTTTGAGGGTGAAAACAACAAAAACAAAATAAAATTTATTTATTTTGGGCTTAATTTCATCTTGGGCTTTTTTAATCTCTTTCAGACTAGAGCACATGGTAATTTGGATGGCTAGTATTCTGAGTTTTAAAATGACATCTTGAAAAACAAATTGACTTACTGACGAGTTCTCTTTGCTACTACATCGTCTAGCAGTTGTTCTGTGTTCAACTGGGCCTGAACCTAAAGGAAAAAAAAAGCAACAGATCCCATAAAAAGCAGAGGATTTGAATCAAGAAGACATCATGCACTGTAATCTTGTAACCCAGTGTGGCACGTGCATGAATGCAGGAGAGGGGTCTGTGTTATTCTGCAAACACCTCTCTGTTAGAGTTCTAATACAGGAGCATTAGAATAGTGGCAAATACAAGTTTACTACAAGAAACATTAATTTCTTATAGGAAGCTATTATTGATGACAAGGAGGAACACTGAGTAGAAAAACTGGGGCAGAACCAATCTAGTGTCATGTTTTCCACATCCCAAACTTAGTCCCTACCTCAACCATGAGCCATGCCTGTGATTATTACTTAAAAGTGGATGCTCAGGATCTTCTTTGGGTTCAAAAGAAAAACAGAAAAAACAGCAAGGCTTTTAATACCTTCAGGCCTCTTCGGAAAAGAAAAGTTGCCTGACGAGTATCTTTCTGATGGCTTAATTTATTTCCACTCCTCGTAAAATTAGCTGGAATGTTATTTCTGTGACAAAAACATATGATATCATGAATATTCTCAGCCACTTTTCTTTCAAACATCTTGAGAAAAAAATAAGAAAAAATAGTTAAAATTTACAGGCTGACAATGCAATAAGCACGTAACATAAAGACTCTTAATGGTTTCCTTATTTACATGAAGCTACTGAGATCTGATTTACAATATTTCCCTCTGTAGACAACCACATAACACTTAATTATGAATTTATATTCCAAATACATTTGACTCGAATATGCCACATATAACATGTCTTCTTTTGAAGGCATTTACAAAATCACATTTTTAATGCTATTTTCTATTCCTAAAGAAAACATAAATTTACAGATTTGTTTATAGGATTGGTACAAATTCATACATGTGCACATTCATAATTAAATGGAAAACAAAAACAGATTTGAACCACCTCTCCTTCATCTTTCTCTTCCTTCCTCACTTAGAAACCACAATGAAACATTCTTCTAACTTTTATTTTCATGTGCAGAACTATGCACTCTTCATTATATTTGACTTTTCACTTTCAATTTTCTAAAGGTGGTGAATTATGAGAAAAAATTTTGTATTTATCTATTACATAAATAAGTACTTAATAGGTTACCTAATCTTATTTCCAATCTTATGAAGTTCAAATGCTAAATTTCCCTACCAATCCAGTTAACATGCAAATCTCACATAAACAATAGGTTCTTGTTTGAGAAGGTCCCTTTCATAAATGGCATTAACAAGTGATGCCCCCAAAAAGTGATGCCCAAATATGACAGTTAAGTAAAAACTGCAATTCTAGCCATTTCATTTATTAAAAAACTTCAATCCAGGTTTTATTTTATTATGGATTATCTTCAGTAAGAAATGAGTAAGTGGTACTTTAAAGTGAAATAAGATAGCTTCACACCTTCTCAACTTTCTTTTTGTCTGTATTACTTTTTTTTTTTTCCTCCTGGTAGTGGGAATTTAACTCAGGATTTTGTGCTTGCCAGGCAGGCACAGCACCACTGAACTAAATCCCCGGTTGTCTATATTATCCTCATAGAGAATGGGATACATACCACAAGTCTTAAGTTTTAGGTTTTTGTTATAACTTTCAATTTAGTACAAAATAATTTCAGTCTAAAATTCCTGCAGAATTCTCTCTAGTTTGCTTTTTCCACAGATAACCTACATTGTGATTCAGTGTTTTAATTAGAGCCATTGAGTTTGAATAATTCAGCTTTCAGAATTCCCAATTTTGAATAATTCTGATTGAGGTGTTAGGACTTTGCTACTTTATTCTTTTTTTTTTTTTTTTTTTTTTTTTTTTTTTTTTTTTTTTTTTTTTTTTTTTTTTTTTTTTTTTTTTGGTACCAGGGATTAAACTTCGGACCTTGTACTTGAAAGGCAGATGGTAGAACCACTGAGCTAAATGCCCTGCTATTTTATTCTTATGTCAAGGGAGGTAAAGAAGCAGAGTACCTTTTAAAAAATGTTTCTATGAAGCCAGTGGCACATGCCTATAATCCCAGGTATTTGGGAGGCTGAGGGAGAAGGACTGCAAGTTTGGGGCCAGTCTGGCTAACTTAGTTATACCTCACCTCAAAAAATAAAAATTGCCTAAATAAATAAATAAAATAAAAATTGCCTTACATTTATTTGAGTACTTACTTTCTGTTTAACTGGTTAGGTCTCTTGAGAACTGCAGCTGGTTTCCTTTGCACTTCATTTTGTCTCAGGTTTGTTTTCCTTTTTAACACTGGAAAATACCGTTCTATATTCTTTCAGAAAGTAAGAAAATATGTTAGCTCGTTTTTATTATATGCCCCACTACAATAAGCATTTCTGGTGCAGAATGGACAGATGCTGACAATTACTTGGATGTATACTAGGGGAGACTAAGAAACCAAAATGACAATTTCTTTAGTGACTGAAAAGATAACTGCATTATATTTAAAATACCTGAGGTGATCAGGGGGTTCACAGATAGTGTAAAACGTGACTCTGGAACTCAAGGAAAGAATCAGGGAGCCAGAGATGTGAATTATGAAACAATTTACATAAACATGATTCTAAGTGCTATGGTTTGGGTAAGGTCTATGTGTTTTCCCCAAGGTTTATGTAAGTTAAGGTTTGGTCCACAGGGTGGCACTTTTGGGAAGCTCATAAAATCTTTAGAAGGAAGGGCCTAGTGAGAAGCCTTTAGGTTAATGGGGATGTACCCTTGAAAGGAATTGTGGGAGCCTAGCCCCTTCCTCTTCCATTTTTGGTCATGAGGTAAGCAGCTTGCTCTGCTACATTCTCCTGCATGGTGTGCTTACCTTACCAGAGGCCCAAAACTATGTGCACCCCTCTGGATTTTGGACTGGTACCTCCAAAATAGTGAGCAAAAATAAGTCATTTTCTTTAGAAATTCTGCCAGGTATTAAAAAAAAGCTGACACACTAAGTGGAGGGATAGAGAGCCAAATTCCAAAATAAACATGAAAAAATACACAGGAAAGTTGTAAGAACAAAAAAGTTGGGAGTAGAAAGAGAAAAGAAAAAGAAAAATTCAGTATAATAAAAAGCACAAGGCTGGGGCAAAATACAAAGTTTGAGCCCAGCCCTAGCAATTTAACAAGACCCTATCTCAAAAACTAAAAAAGAAAGGGGTTAGGGAGATAGCTCCTTGGGTTCCATCCCCACTTCTGTAACAAAAACATACACAAGCACATGAAATGTGCACTTTTCCTTCCTCCGTATATATAAACTGAACCCACCATTAAAGCCTAATTCATGAAGACTTCTCTAAAGTCATGGACCACAGCTCATACTTTTATCTAGAGTCTCCTATTATCTTAAGCATATAAAAATTGCTTCATAAATATCCACTGACAAAATAAGAGGTAAAATGAGTTTTCATTTTCATGAGCATCTAGAAAAGAAGCACACATAAATATGAGGACAAAGAATATCAAGAACACAGAAAAACCACAAGGTCAATCTAATGTCCTATTCTAAGCTTTGGTCAAAGCTTCTTCTAGATGCTATTGTCACATGTAATTTGACACATTACCATCATATATGTGTGATAACATAAATGTTTTATATTAAATTTACTAAACTCACACAGACTTTTCTTCCTCTTATTCTTTAAGCAATATTTAGGAGTACTTAAAAAGTACCAATAAATTCAATGAAAAAAATTTTTTTTCAGTTATTTAGTTTTAAAAAAACCAAGGCAAAAACAAAACAAAACAAAAAACCCCAAAAATAAACGGTAGTAAAACAACATACTATTTACATTTAGATGTTATAATATAGAGATGAGTTATACACGAAAACATTCTGCCATATTATACAACAGGCTTGAGCATCTGCAGATTTTGCTATCTGATAAATATCTTGGAACCCATTCTCCACAGATGTGGAGGGATGACTGCACTGGGAAAGTGGAAATTTGTGTGATGATTTTTATAGTTCTTAAATTTTCACATAAGCCCCAAAGTGCTACATAATACCCTGTAATGCTTATTCATAAAAAAATTAGTACAAATAAGGAAAAAGATCTCTACCCAGGATCAAGCCATCATCCTACCTTGTCACTTAGAGGTGGACGATTCATAGGACTAACTCCTTTTCGAATTCCAGTTGCTTTTCTAGCTGCAAGGCCAGTGATAACTCCATAAGGACGTCTCTTCCCAGGCATTACTTTTCCTCTTCTGCTCAGACTAGTTTTACCAAAACCTAAAGGAAAAAAGGAAACAAAGTATCAATTTAAGAATGAAAATGGGAAGGTCACAAGATACTCTTTACTTTTCAAGTAGGGTGCATATGTCTTTTAAAAATGTCATTATTTATATATGCTTTTGAATTACATAAATAATTCACTTTTAAACAGGCAGTAAGCTGCACTGGGAAGAGGTCTATGGTTGTACTGGACTGCAAAGGAACAGATGATTATCGCCCGTCCATACTAACCACCTCTTCTGTTATGACTTTCTCAACAGGAAATCTACTAGCTACAACCTGTGCAATATGGTAGTCACCAACCATCTGTTGCTACTGAATACTTGAAATATAACTAATGTGAATTGTGATATAATAAAATGTAAAATATTAACTTTATATTAATTATATATTACATATTACATATTACGAGTATGATTTATTAGTATTTCTAGAGAACTGCATCTTCATAACTCTGCACCATTCAGGAATCAGCCCGCCTTTCCACTATCAAGTCTTTTTTGTTGTTTTGTTACTATAGTGTCTCTGTAAGGTTCTTTTCCCTCCTGCAAGTCTTACACATTTTTTTTCCTTCTTCTTTTTTGGTACCAGGGATCAAACTCAGGACCTTGCACTTGCAAGACAGGTGGCAGAGCCCAGCCGCCATTGCTCAAGCGCCGGGAAGGTACCCCCATAAGTCCCCCCGCCACACTCTCAGACCTCCTGACTGTGCAAGTCTTTGGACCCACTCTGCAAAGACAGAGGTGGTCATCAAGGGTATTTTTCTGCGTTCCCAACTTTGAACATCTTTAAAGAAAGGGCAGGGGAAACCTGTAATAGAACATTGCGGAGTTCAACCATTCAGAAGGATGGGGAACTCAATCTGGGCCTTGCAGCCCAAGGTCAGTCAGCATCATGGGGTTCAGCAATCAGCTAACTGAGATCAGGGGTCTTACATCCTCGCTCTGTCTGAGCCATTAAATGGTTAATATACTATATTGAAAAGTTTGTTCACTGCAGACATGTTCTGGACTGCTTCTTGATTCAATTTAATTCAAATGATTTAAGGGTGATAGACTAGTGACTACCACAGGTGGTCAGTGCCCAAGTTGTGCTTGATCTTAATGTGTTGCTGATTGTATCAGTTGGGGTAAAGCATTGCCGTTGATTTGATGAGCTGTTTTCTCTGATGTTATGAAGATGAGAATGTCCTTGGGTCGTTAGAGACACAGAAGCTAGGGTGCAACTATATCAGGAAGATTTGGGTGATAATCCAGAGATTAAACCAAGGACAGTCCGAAAACAAAAATTAAAATGAGAAAAAACTTAAGCAAGACACAAGGACAGACTTCCAGTTCACCAATGGCAAACAGTAGCGCAAATGAGGATGAAAAGGCCGATAGTGAACCACCAGGACACCCTGAACTCAAAGCACAGGAAGTAACAAAACCGATCAATCAGGCTCTAGAAAAATTCAAAACAGAAATAATTTCCCAGATAACCATAGAGATAGTGAGCAAAATGGAAGTCGTGATTCGAGACTCTAGAGCAGAAACTGACAGAAAAATAGATGAGCTCGGGACCATTATAGAAGCCATGAAGGCCCAGCATAAGAAAGAAATGGAAAAAATAAACGCCCAAATAGGAAAGAAATGGAATCCACAAAACAGATTCAAACAGATATCCAGGAGATTAAACACTCTATTGAAAGTGTACGCAACAGAATAAAAGAATGCGAAGATAGGCTCTCTGATATAGAACATAATATTGCAGTCAGTGACCAGGAAAAGAGAGGTCTCTTAAAAACAGTAAGAGATCATGAGAAATCGATCCAACAACTC